TTTAGTAAAGATATTTTAACAAAAATTCACGTTACAAATGACAAATTTTACGTTGGGCCTATGGAAACGGCGTGAACAAACAGTTTGGGCATTGACGCAATTAATAAATACACCTTTAACCCAATTAAGCGTGGCACCTTCTCACCTGTTATTTTCGATACAATCCCTTTAATTATATTCATTAATTCCAGCCGTTCAAACTAATAAAATATTCAATTAACACAACCGCTCTTTGATCCTAGTTCAGCTTTCTTTAGAAACGTCTTGGCTATTAACGTACTGTCTTTTTTAAATAACGGTACCTTTTTTTCCTTTTAAGGATGAAAAAGATTCAACATGAAAGATAAATTTTGGAGATGACAGAAAGGAGGATCGTCAGTGAATAAACGAGATATAACGCGACTGGGGAAAAATCCGCCTAGGTTAAACGCACCTTTCAGTTAAAAAGGAAAATAAAATCCTCAAGGAAGATTTACAAAATCACCTGATTTATTCCCCTCCATCGCCAAAAAACTTGTTTTTTTCATTCTTCTTTTTGACAACAATTGCGACAGTAACAATACTGTAAGAAAAAAACAGATGACAAACGTTGAAAAAAATGCCAGGAGAACTCACCCTCTGGTGAACCTCTTATATAATAATGAGGTATTCATGTTCTTTCTATTAATCCTGTTAACTCTGTTAAGTCGTATTAGATCGAGAAAAATTATGAGATCGCACCATCTTAGGGAGTTGGACTTTTGTTAGCTATAATTCGAATCGAATATCAATGCAGCCAGACTGTTAGTCGTTAGGACTTAAGTAATAAAGCTGGTTATAATTTTTTTTATACACGAGGGTTTGCAGAGATCCTATAACCCTCCGTATGCCGTAAGTATGTCGGGTTCGAATACAGGGCTGCTGGATTCGAACCCCGGACCTTTACCTTACAGTGATGGGCACCCAAACCGTTGCGACCAACGACGCCCCGATTAATTGTTGTTATTACAATATAAATACGAATTACTAAATTAATACAATGTAAATAAAATTAAGTATATAAATCATTGAAAACGAACAAACTATAGGTTCATCATCCTGCAGACCATATAAGAATATAGAATCAAATATGTACTAATAATAATTATTGATCAGGCTAGACCTCAAACAGTCATCAGGACGTGTCTAATGACTCTCTTGGCAGATTCTACATTTATCCTTCTGAGCTGTGTCCATTTTTTAAGGTGGCAAAATCATAAATATATATTGTATAAGTATATTAATAAATCGTGAGCTTGTGAAAGTCCTCCTATCATTATAATTACAATTGTCGTTGTTTATACGGAATATTCTGAGCCTCAATCATACAATAAAACGATTCAGAAACAAACAAATTTATAGAGGAATCGCAAGGGACAAATTGTGACATAAATAATAATCACTTGTTTTCAAATAACATGCAACAATGTTTTATTTTTAGCTAATAACCAAGTATGTAAAAGGGAAAAAATTAACCTCAGTCTCACTCTTGGCCTCAAGGTGACAGGAACAATAGTATTGGTTGACGAGAACGAAATTGAATACTTTCTAACTTTCGACCTTGGCAGCATACCCGATATGCAAGACCGACAGGCAGATGAGAGATGGAATTGTCATTTTACACCCGGGGGTTTGTAAACAGGTTTGACCTAGTGTAACATGTCGCCATCATCGATTTTATGATTAAAGGAAAGGTTGAATATAAATTTGAAAGATTCTAGTTGTTCTTTCCACATGAAGTTTCTCTGGTTTTCCTTGCAGATGTTTCGTAATTGCGCAAATTTTGCTTTTTCCCGGGCTGGATGCTGGTGGTGGATGGTGCATCGAATAGCCGGGGTTCGAAAAGGGTCAAGGCCTGCCAAGGTCGGTGCTGGAATATTGATAGCCTGCCTTCTGGGAAAACGGGTACAAACGGCCAAATTGGATTCTCGCCAAAGCGGCACCCCTCGTCATCTGCCCAATTCACTTTCCCGGAAATGAGTGAATTACAGGGTTTTGAATTTGGTCGGTTGATTTATTTTTTCTACCCGTTTTGTTTAAGTTTACTCAGCATCCAGCATATGCTCATTAATAGTCAAGCAATGACAATTGCTTCGTGTACATTATTCAAATACTAGCGGTTCATGGAAATAGTCACACATGCGTCTAACACATGACGCTCCATTACCAAATATTGAAAATGCATAAATGAACCATTTATAAGATGTGAAATGGTTTTATTTATTATTTCTATTCATCTTTGAATAACTATGCATTTTTAGTTTAAAAAACATGGAATTTTCAGAATTCTTAAGATACCGGTGTTTTAGCCTCAGTACATCGACCAATACCATTTCTAGTAGGAAATTATTTTTAAATGTATTATTATTAAATATAAAAAGGTTTAAGAGATTGTTGCAGGTTAAAAAGGATTAAAAATGCTTGAAGAAGTCTAGACATTATTTTAGATTGTTGGGAATGATTATAGATGCTTGGAGCTGGTTTGGACAGTTGGTGATGGAGGTGATTATGGATGACACCAATTGATGATCTATTGAGATGATTATTTTAAACATTATTATTATCAAATACGTTTGTAAGATTGTTTTTGAGGTTTGCAGGGTGATGAATCAGTAATTTGGTCGTTTGTAATCATTCTGGTCTGACTATCCTCACTGTGTTGGTATATCGGATCAGTTTCACCTTTTGTCATCGTTGGAGATTATTCGTAATTGGATAAAATAGTTAGAAATGCTTGAAGAAGGCTAGGAATGTTTGGAGATAATGAATGACATCACGTTTTACCATTGTTGATCTAGTGATACAAGTATTTGTAGAAATCGCACTGAGTATTGGTAATTGAGAGGCATCCTCTCCGAGGGTAACTACTCTAAAAGGTAAGAAGAATAGCAGATTTTTTGCAGTCGTGTCGGACAGAAGTGACTGCTTGCTCTGTTCCTTAAGAGCTAAGGATTGGGATTTATGCTCTGGTCGGAAAAAATGATGGAGGGGACACCTCTTAAATCTAACAATTTCGCCTAAGGAACCTTACTTCCAGCACCTCGCAGTTGTAATGTGATCACAAAAAATAGACAAAGCTGAGAAAGAAACGTGCCATACCTGTCACAAAAAGCAGAGGCCCCAGAACACGTTTTTGAAACGATAATCTAAGAAATTAGGCAAGAGGCACTTGGAAAAGAAGTTAAGCTGCTTGTTTTGGCACTTAGGAGTCTCGGTTCTTGAAAAAAAAAAAAATCCACCTAAGGCCTGTTACAACCACTACTGCACACGAGCGTACTTTTGTTGGAGGCGAAAGGCCCATCGCTCATCCCAAGTGATACATCGAATGCTTCAATTGCTCAGGGTGTCGAGCTGTTAGGAGCCTACAACCCAGGACGTATGTGGATGCCTTATCGAAGACGGCCGCAGATTCGCCGATTCGAACGCAATGATCTCCTTGTAGGTACACCGACATAGAGTGCAGAAACAAAGGGTAGCACTAGATGGACCAGGTGTTGTGTATAAGTGTAGGTTGTTACGGATTCGATTGAACAAATGCCAGGTCGGATAATTCCTCCACCATAAACTTCGATAAATTGGTACGACCGATAGCCTTTCTAGATCCCGCCAAATATTTGATGTAGGTCGGGTCATTAATTGTGTATGCGTATAAATTGCACAGATTTCGGTTAAATTTCCTCGGCAAATAAAGAATATTGTAAGGCATGCATTTGAAGCTTTTTCTTAGCTAACGTACTTAAGTATGCAGAATAAGGTATGGATTTTCAGCGTTTGCTAGTACGGTTTTGAATAGGCGGTGTTGGAAAATGGTTATTGGAATAGTTGAACAATTGTCTAACGACAAAAGTTTAGAAATATTATTTAGTAATATAATATGGTAGGATAGTGCTATATAGTATAGAATATTAAGTTTAGAATATTAGTATATAAATATACTAGTTATAAAATTAGTAATTATAAAATTCTCAATATATATATTTGTTAACTGAGCTAAGCCGGGTATATTTCTATGACTCCTCAAAATGTATGGAGAATCGGTCACTACTTTTGACGATTTTACATGTTATTTGTGTCTACTACTACTATATTTTTTTTTCTTTAATATATATACAAAGTTTAAAAATCGGCAGTATGTACTACAGAGCAAGAAAGACGTTCCTCGTGGTTTAAAACTGTCTGAGGGTATTTGTGTCTATCTTGTGTAATCTGTCAACGGTAAGTCTTGTTGTTAGAAACTATAGACAAATAATATTTTTTATCATTATCACACTCCTAAATGCCGGGCTTTAAAGACACCCGCATTAGACAGTAGACCAGTAGTGTCCTGAAGGTGAAGTTGACGATTATGAAGGTCCGACTGAACCCTGAAGTCTACGTATAACGTTTCGTTTTTGATTTCGTAACCGATTTAGGAGTGGGACCATAAACGGTTGGTCAAGGCTGGTCCTGTTGTGGGCCTTGGCCGCCGTCGTCCATTTCCCCGGGTACGTTCTTCCTGTTTCACTATCACGTCCTTCACCTTATAGCTTGGCCACACATTAAGCCGTGTTTTTTTACACCCAGATACGGCCACGCGTTAAATGGGTCAAAATCGATTTCCTCTGCACGGAGATAGTTAGTGCGGGGTGATTCTATATTCGGAAGTTGCCGAACGGGTTCTATAAATCGACCTCCTTCAGATATTCCTCAATAAGTCATGTCCAAAAGTAAGGGTATAAATTTTACTTTTGGTGAGACACTAAACCAAGGATCATAATAAAACATTCACCGATCATTCAGGCAGATACTACTCAGTGTTAACTTATGAATGAAGACATTATTCATGAAAGTGGCCAGAAAAAAATTAACTTTCGCTGATTTGTTGAATGGAAAGTACTTCAAACGAGAACATTAAAAATATAAATTCACTAGTTTTCGTGGTCCGCTTGACTAATTAATATCCTTCGATTAATTAAGGTTTTTGGTCGAGATAAAAAAGTCAGTGTCACGAGCGGGATTCGAACCCAAGATCTTCGGCTAGAAAAGCCGCTGCTCTACCACTTGAGCTATCATGACCTCGATCCACTCGGACACTAACTTCCCATCTCAACCCCACCTTTTGAATTTTCCCTCCTTTTTGCCATTTTTCAAATGTCGTGTAATCTATTTGATTCTCGGCGACAAATGAAATGGCCACGGAGAGTTTTAGTGAAGGTATACTTCATTTTAACTTATTAAATTCACTAGTTTTCGTGGTCCGCTTGACCAATTAATATCTTTCAATCAATTAAGATTTTTAGTTGAGCTAAAAAAGTCAGTGTCACGAGCGGGATCCCGAATTTAATTTAAATTAAATCGAATCAGACTACACGACATTTGAAAAATGGCAAAAAGGATGGAAAATTCAAAAGGTGGGGGTGAGGGAGTTATGAAGTGGCCACGAGGAGCTATTAGTGAAGTGATATTCCTTTACTTATTACATGTTAATCCATTTATGTTTAGTGGTCTAATTGACCATTTTAATTATTTCAATTAATTATTCTTTTTATGTAAGGTCTTGGTTGAGATGATGTGTCGGGTGTCCGAGTGGATCGAGGTCACGATAGCTCAAGTGGTAGAGCAGCGGCGTATCTAGCCGAAGATTGTGGGTTCGAATCCCGCTCGTGACACTGACTTTTTTATCTCAACTAAAAACCTAAATTAATTAAAAATATAATTCAAGCGGCATACCCGTTAAGCTCTTTGTGCTTTGTCTTAACTTTTTTCTGTTCAAGATAATCACAGAGACAGCATAACAGTTTATAGCTCGTTACAGACTCGTCTTACTACAAACCCAACAAAGATTTTGTTTTATATTGAAATTAGGATGTAGATTGTAAATTAATTATTGTAACATTTTTTCGTTTAAGTCAACTAAACTGAACATTCCAGAGTCGGACCGATTCGACCAAATGTGTTTCCATTCTCCGTTGGAACCTCACCAAGGTCAAATAGTTACCCAAATGTTTACAGTTTAAAAAAAAACGACTAGACCACCACGGTAAGTCAGTTTATTTCCATAGTTAAACCCCTTTTCCATATGCTGTTTGGACAGGAGGCCTAATTAAACCAAATGCCTTTTTGAACGAATTGACGTACACGTGCCACCGACTTCTAACGTCTTTTCATCACTATCCACCATTTGAGCAAACCGTCAAAAATCCTACTTACATAATCCAATTTGACAATAGGCTGTCCATGTTTTGAGATTTACGGGTTTCCGAGCGTCGGTAAATCCTGAACCTCCTTGGCCCCCAAAATGGCAATTGCATCATCATTAGATCACGCCTATTCGTTTACTAATTCAGAAAGAATTCAAAGGCCTTTTGAAAAAAAGCCAAAGACTGGCTCGGAAGCGTAGAACAAAAGCAGATAATATCGAATGGAGAAACGCGAACGTGCTCGAATTAATGAAACAAGACTTGGCACCGGTGCTACATCGGAGCCATTAAACATCCATTAATTAAATTGCTTTACTACAGATCGGACACGGCTAATTTTTAAATCTTTTTGTCGCCAAATGGACTATAAACTGTACATATATTGAGGATAGGACTATATACAGGTCACTGGCATCTAAGAAAACACCTAAACGAAATTGGACAGACATCAGATTAATGCAAGAAGAGGACAGAAAATTTCAACCGTATTATCTTTCAATACGAAACAACCTCTCAATGGAAACGTGTCAAGTTGGCCCTGTGAAAATGATACTAACAACAATTGATTTCCACTCAGCCTTTCTTCAAAGGAGAATCAAATGTGAAGAAATGAACCCCAGAGCTTGGGGAATACCAAACCCGTTCTTCCTAATACACCCATCATCATCAACTTACCCCAATATCTAAAGAAATTTCTATATCACCTGAGACACATACTTACACAGTTTCGAAAAATGCACTGATGAATTTCGCTATGGAACCATTAGAAAATTCACCTCCTGTCTCAGGAGTGAAAGTAAAACTAAGGGAATAGGTGAAAACCTAAAAATATACAAACAAACGAAAACAGTTATAAATAAACAAATCTACAGCTCATAATTCACTTGATCTAAATGGACAAGGAACTGAACTACTAGCTAAAACTCAAAGACTAACGATTCAAGATGGCGAAAAGTTGGACTTATTCGTTTCTTATGTTTTGTAATCTTTCTTCCCAAATCATATTTGGACTTTTTCATTTCATATGTAGAATAGCGACTTGTAGAAGTTCGGCGAGCCCAGTTTCACTACTTTAGACCAAAGAACGAATTGTCCTCTTCTATAGTTATTTTGCAAAGAAATCAACGCAATTTTTTTAATATACGAAGAAGCCAGATTGGAAACGACCAAACTAAAACTGAATTTCGAAAAGACAAATGACAAATCTTGACAAACTAATCTGCCAAGTCCACTGCCAAACGTCAAAGTACATAGTAATCACTGCGCAACCCTTAAGAAGAACCGAATAATGTAGGTCCGTCAATTCTCGCTGTTTGCATCAGATAGACAAATATTTTTCATTGTACATTCAGAGAAACTGATGATTTCCTAAATGATCATAAACCCAGTCACCTTTCCGTTATTTGTTCTCTTCAAATACATGACGGACAGAATAAAGAGTTCCACTAGCCCATGAGATATATAAAAACTTCAAACAACACTCGTGAATACTTTCAGCTCAACATACCTTTTTTTGCGTGAATGAACTACAAGACCCGACTCAACACACAGAACCAATGAAGATGATGAAAAGAAGATGAAATCGATTTCGTTTTTGCGAATTTCGAATTTTTCTTTTCAATTCAAATTCGGACTTTTCCGTTTATGTATAGAATATAAACTTGTAATTCGGCACGCCCATTCTTGCTGCTTCGGTCTGAAGAATGAAATCTGCGTATCTATCTACGCTGTCTTCTACAGTAGATTTATAAAGAAATCAGCTCATGAGCTGAAAACCACCGAGAAATCATGATCGGAAATGGACAAACTAGAAACGAATATTACCTAGTCTGGCAGAGCCAAAAAGCGAATACGGGCGGACCAAAATGATCGGAAACGTTCAACATACAGGTTTATGTTGTACCACAGACCTCATGAAGAAGCTCACAAAATATCAGCAAAAAATATCATTTTGGGCCCGTTTATTCTCGCTGGTTGCTTTAATGAGACACGGTTTATGCAGGATTTGCCGAATGATCATCAACTTGTCATCTTTCTTGAGTAACCAATCACTTCTCATTATTTCCTGATGTGATTTTCGTTCTATTCATGTAAATCTCAATGTCAAGGTGGAGGAATTAGATTTCTAGGAATCACCATTTTGGGACCGGCTCAGGTCTACGTGACATGACTCGAGAGTCAAGCAAGTTTTCTGAAATATTCCCGCCGCCTTTTGGCCTATAAATTTTTTTTCCAAACACAATTTTCACATTTGATAATTTGTCCGAGTGCGTGCCCGTTTGTTAGCGAGGCCACCCGACCTTCGTTGTTTACCGATTCTGGTCTTTATTTTAAGATAAAATTGTCCAGTAGACACTATTTTCTCGGAATAAGTAAATAAGGAATTTTATCTAAAAACCCAATTTCTCTTTATCGACCGATCACGTGTAATTATTGGAAACATTCCTTTTTTTAAACCAATGTCTGTAAAATGTTAGATTATATATTTGTAAATATTGAATAATTAAATTTATAGAGTTTGTTTAATTTGTATCATTTGTTCTCTTAATTAATGATCATAAATTTAAATAATTTATCCATATACGTTTAGCGGTCGTAATTGACAATTCACTAGTTTTCGTGGTCCGCTTGACCAATTAATATCTTTCTACTAACTAACTAATCCACTAACTTCCTAAAGCAAAAAGGAGGGAAAATTCAAAAGGTGGGGTTGAGATAGGAAGTTGGTGTCCGAGTGGATCGAAGTAACGATAGCTCAGGTGGTAGAGCAGCGGCGTATCTAGCCGAAGGTCGTGGGTTCGAATCCCGCCCGTAACATTGACTTTTTTATCTCAACTAAAAACCTTAATTAATTGAAATATAATTGAGAATATTAATTATTTCAATTAATTATTCTTGTTACCTAAGATCTTGGTTGAAATGAAAATTTTAGTGTCACGAGCGGGATTCGAGCCCACGACCTTCGGCTAAGATCTTAGATAAAAGGAATAGTTAATTTATTTCATTGAGGTACTTATTTAATTTTTTAAGTTATATAGTATTAAACAGATTTTTTAGACAATTGTAGTTGTGTTTTAAGCAAAGTTGTGTTTAGGAAAATATCAAATATAGGGGATCAATTATTACGTTATGCAAATTGTAAGTGGAATACTTTTTATAGACGTTGTTGTTGTGTTATTCAATTGTGTAGACAAATAACAATGTACAGGTTAATCGTTAATTCAGGTCAACTAATCGAAACTAACGTACTAGTGAACTAGTTGCTCTACCATACATACCCGCGAAATAGGTGGAGCAGGACTAGTTAACGAATTGTTTAGACAAATATCGATTAAACTTAATCAATTGTTACTTTAAGACTACAATGGGAAATTAGCATGTCGTTGGTAAACGTTTTGCAGTCATGATTATTGAACCATTTAGAAAAAGAACGGTTATACCGAATCAATTGTATATACATTGTCATAACAATGACGAAAGTTAAGAAGACTTGATTTTCGAATTTGACAAAAATCGACTATACCGGATTGATGCTACCTCTGAGTTAGCTAACCTGAATTTTCAGATCGGTGTAGTATGTTAAGCAGAGCTGATTATAGAATTATTTAGAAAAATATCGATAACCGTATTGAAGCTATCGCTAAGTCACCTAACCTTAACTAGCATAACATTGAAATAGGTTAAGGAAGACCGATTATTTAGTTATCGGGTTGTCCGGAAAATAATGCAGGATTTTAAGTTTTCATTAAAAAAAATCTATATAAAATATTCTGTTTACGTTTACAGGATTACTCATTTGTATGAATGTCAACACTTATTAATCCTCTTCCAAATGATATTGTTTGTTTACCTCTGTAGCATTCCGCTACTTGGAAA